TTCCCTTCCTTCATTAAGCCCCCATAAATTTCCAGTCCAGTCAAGCTTCCATGCAGTTTCTTCTCAGACTCTTCTCCTATCCACTTTGTTGGTCTGATTGAGTTGCACCTGGAAGTGAAATCTCAATAAAGACTAGTTTGGTGGCCACTTTAAATCTGCCTCCTTTTGTTGCTGCCCGCCTCGCCTGATCTTACAATAATTAAGCCATTCGCAAAACAAGAGTCTCAATTTGGTTTTTAGCAATCCTAGTCCTGTGGCTACAAGACATAAATTTCTTTTTTAGGCCACATCAAAACTTTCAAGTCATTTATACAGCACCAGATCAGGGAGTTAAAATCCCTGAACTTACCTTTTGTTAAATGCCACTAGGATAAACTAACCAGTTTTAGTATAACAGATTCGTTTGCCAAAAATGTTCTAAAGTACCCAGATGTGGTGGCAGACACCTGTAATCTCAGGTATTTAGAAGGCTGAGGCAGGGGAGGATCACAAGTTCAATGTCAGCCTGGGAAATTTAGCAAAACTCTATCACAAAACAAAATAAGAAGAGCTAGAGGCATAATTCAGAGATAGAGCACCCCTGGGTTTCATCTCCAGTAATGAAAAACATATATTCTGAAGTGTTAAGCAGCAGTTAGCTATGGACATGGAATAGTAAGTATTAACATGGAAGGGCTATGGTAAATGCTACACTTGGGTTGATAACCAAGTTTCTATACCTGCATGGAACAAATGGTCTTTAAGACATGGGAGAGGGGCTGGGGATGTGGCTCAAGTGGTAGTGCGCTCCCCTGGCATGCATGCGGCCTGAGTTCAATCCTCAGCACCACATACAAATAAAGATGTTGTGTCCACTGAAAACAAAAATAAATAAATAAATATTAAAAAATTCTCTCTCTCTCTCTCTCTCTCTCTCTCTCTCTCTTAAAAAAAAAGATATGGGAGATAAGTAGCTTCAAAGAGAGAATCCAGACTTTTAGACTCAGGAGAAAAGATGGATGAATGCAGTAAGAGAAGAGTTCCCTTTCAGTCAGTAAAAATATGGCTAGTTCTGACCAGTCTAGGTGGCTGACAATTGCCTTTTCCTTATTATAATGTCATTTACATCTCATTGAAATTGAGCTTTGCTTCTTTCGTGGGCTTTACTTGGGCTATTATGGGTAATGAGCATGCGTATTTCCAAAATAGTTACATAATTAGGACAGGTAACTAGTAGGTTGAATATAGTTACTCTGGGTGTTTAAAACTCAATTATAGGGATCAAAGAAATACAATTCCTCTTTTGTAGGGTCTGTCCACTCTTTCTCACCTTCAGTTTGCTTATAGGAGAGTGTACTTTGACTAGAAAGCCAAGTCCAGAAACCCCAGAATCATCTCATGATACTGGTGTCTAAAATCATGTTCCTCTAGAACCACTCTTGATACCAAAATCTGTATTAGAGTTCTCCAAAGGGTAAAAAACACAATACAATAGTAGGAGACACATACATAAACACACACTCAGAGAAGTATTAGCCTTTTTGTCTTATTCAGGCATTCAATTGATGGTATTATGCCCACCCACATTAGGGAGGACAATCTGTTAACTCATTTTATTGGTATAACTTTAAATCTCATCCAGATACACCCTCAAAGACACATCCAGAATAAATTTTACTCAGTGTCTGCCCACCTCTTGACTCGGTCACATTGACACATATAATTGATCATATAGGGTGAGTAGTATTGTAGCATTGTTATTGTAATAGGGAATAAAGGTCCTGTTGTAAGTCATGCCTCAAATTCTGAAAGTGACTTTCCAATTGAGTAATATGTTGAGGTTGGGAGAATTTTAGAGGGCATGTGAAATTCATCTGGAAAAATAAGAGACCCAGAATAGCAAAAGCAATTCTAAGCAGGAAGAGTGAAACAGGTGGTATCGCTATACCAGACCTTAAACTATACTACAGAGCATTAGTAACAAAAACAGCATGGTACTGGAACCAAAACAGGATGAATGGATTTTAAAAAGTGGCATTTATACACAATGGAATATTACTCAGCAATAAAAAAGAATAAGATCTTGGCATTTGCAGGAGAATTGAAGGCATTAGAGAAGATTATGCTAAGTGAAGTAAGCCAATCCCAAAAAAACAAATGCCAAATGTCTTCTCTGATATAAGGGGGGTGACTCAAAATGGAGTTGGGAGGAAGAGCAAGGGAGGAAAATTACCTCTAGATAGGGAATAGGGGTGGGAGGGAAAGGGAGGGAGAAGGGGAATTGTATGGATGGTGAAAGGAGATCCTCATCATTATACAAAATATATGTATGAAGATGTAAATTTGGTGTCAACATACCTTATATATAATCAGAGATATGATAAATTATGTCATAATGGTGTATTAAGAATTTTAATGCAAAAATAAATAAATAAATAAACTCTAAATTGTATTAAAATTATTACTGGATGTATACACACACACACATACACACACACACACACACACACATATACACACACACATACACTATAGGTCATTACAGTGAAGGCATAGAAGGAAATGAAAAATAAGATACAGCCAGGCATGGTGGCTCATGCTTGTAATCCCAGTGGCTCCGGAGGATAAGGAAGGAGGATCCTGAGTTCAAAGCCAGCCTCAGCAAAGTCAAGGCACTAAGCAACTCAGTGAGACCCTGTCTCTGAATAAAATTTAAAATAGGGCAGGAGATGTGGCTCAGTGGTTGAGTGCCCCTGAGTTCAATCCCCAGTACAAAAAATTAAAAAAAAACATATATCACCATGAAATGAATTATGGTAGAAATATGATGTTAAAGACTCTTTTGGTGCTATATCAGAACTAAATGGGGAGAGTAATTTTGGACATCAGCAGAAATATAATCTTTGCTTCAAAATGGCAGAACCCTTAGCTTTATTCACCTATTGTGCTAAAGGATAAATTATAAAAGATTAATTTATACATTTAGGTGAAATTTCCAAGTAATGTATATAATAAGCAGCCTGATTTATACATCCTACTTGTAGCAAAATGTGAGAGTGAAAAATAAATTGGGAATAGAACTGTTAAATAATAAGAAAAAACTCATAAAATAATGATTTTTAAAAATACTCAGCTTGTACAGATAGCATGCTCTGGAAATAGGGCAAAGTAGAGATAGTTTCTAATTTATGATTCAACTTACTAGTTTTGACTTTGTGATTGTGAAAAAGTGACAAACATTCAGAAGGCAGGAATTGTACAACAAATTTAGGAGTTTATTATTTTCTTGAGCTAACAATATGTGGCATGGTACTAGTGAAATACTGAGCAGTGGCAACAATCCCTGCTTTTATTCAGCCATATGACTAAATGGGTAAATAACCAATACTCTGCAGTATACTATGTTGCAAATCAATGACATTTTTTATAGGTAAGGTGTGTGCATTTTCAACTTATGATATTTTTAAGTTGATATGGGTTTATGAGTATATAACCCAATCATAAATTGAGTAGCATCTGCATACAGCTGCACAATCTGTCACTGAAGAGATTGGGCATGGAACTCATGGATGCAATTAACCATGTCAGTAGAAGCCAAGAATACAGATGGGCTAATCCAGGTTGCATCTATGCAGAAATTTATTGTGTAATAGTATTGATCTTCTTGACCACAATTTTTGAGAATGTTGTATTAGGAAAAAAACACTGCAAGCTTGAACTGAAGGGGACAGAATTAGGACAAAATGAAACAAGGCCATCAGACTTCAGGGATTTGATAGGCATAATTATTCATGAAAAAAACCTGTGCATCTTTCAAGAAAAAGGAATAATGATCTTAAGGGAAAAACCAGATGAGCAGGAAAAGAAGTAGGGTTGGGTAAGGCCTTCTTGGGCCCAGAGAATGGTGTTGAGCAATAGAGTATTGTTTTAAGGACCATGAAAACAAATGGAATGTTCCCTGCTGGGTGTCACATTTGCTTGAGAACAAAGAATCCTTTATGTCTTTCATTTTCACCCTTTCATAGTGGATATGTCTATCCTATGCCAATAGCATTTTAGTGTACAAGCAGATTTGTTTCCTAGTTTTACAAATGGAGATGAATTTTGCCACAATGTGAATGACACTCAAGAGTCTCTCTCATACCTGATTTAGATGATTAAAATAATAAGGTTTGAATTTTTTAGTTAATTTAAGATAAGATTTTGGAATTAGAGTTAATGCTGTAATTAAGAATTAAGGAGATAGTAGAACATGATGAATGTATTTTGTACATGGTATAGATATAAATTTTGGAAGGTAGTGGGAAATTGTACTGAGCTAACAGACTACAGATACAGTATTATATTAGATATAACCTCTATATCAGTGTTAAATTTACTGCTTTTATATGCCAGATAAAGTAATGTTTTCTTTTCCTTTCTTCCTCCCTCATACCATGTCCTGTCAGTATTTCTTTAAAGATTAAATTGACTTCAATTCCAAATTGAAATTTTGAAGGCTTTAAATTTTCATAAAATATATTTACCAAAACATTATCAAAGTTACTGTAAAATATATTATCTCAAACTTATAACTGCTAAAGTTGTGTGTACAAGAGACTGTCTGTGTTAAGAAATACACATGGAAGTACAGTCCTTAGCATGGGTAGCTTACTCTTAGAGGCAGGCAGAGAGAATAGAGATGAGGATCAAGCCAAAGCAGTAGCAACTGTGTGCAAGGTAGGTGAGCCAAGTAAGAGGAAGGGCACATGCATTGAATTGATTGTACCCATTCTGGAAACTGAGTGGAAGGAAGTGTGCTGTGGCCCACCTAGCCAACCTGGAGATCAAGCGATAGAGCAGAGCCTGGATGAGCCCCGCAGCAGCCCCCACCATCCCCTCAAACACCTCAGACCCCCCTCCCTCCCTGCTCCTGCCCCTGTCCCTCCGGAATCACACTGGGTAACACTGCACAGCTTCATCAGGGCTGCCTCTATGACCTCACAGAGGGATCCCCTCCTGTTGCCAGGGCACCCCTGTGGGCTTCAGGAGCCAGAAGCAAGTGGCAGGCTGCCCTGAACAGGAGCGTGGGCTACTCAGGGAAGTGGTGTCTTAAGGCATCCTGGCCTCCCTGCAGAGGAAGATTCAGCTCCAAAAAGGACATCCACAAGGGCTCTGAACCACAGGTGTTCTGCAGAGCCTCAGGTGCAGGGGAGCACCCCCTTTCCCTCTCCTGTCTCAGCCCCACTCTAGGCTCCTGATCCGCGTGGCTCAGATCCCTGTACCAGCCCCAGCACCTACAGTCCTGCCATTGGCCTGCTGCTATTCGCACCCCACGGTCGAGATCTTGGAAGCCCTCCACCAGTCGCCAGCACCAGTGCCAAGCAATCACTTCCCGGCGATGGCTCTGAAACGCATTCACAAGGAGCTCCTTGACCTGGCCCGTGATCCCCCTGCCCAGTGTTCAGCAGGACCAGTGGGAGATGACATGTTCCGTTGGCAAGCTGCCATCATGGGGCCCAACGACAGTCCCTACCAGGGAGGGGTCTTTTTCCTGTCCATACAGTTTCCATCTGATTATCCCTTCAAACCACCCAGGATCACGTTCATCACCCGAATTTACCACCCTAATATCAACAGAAGCGGAAACATTTGTCTAGACATCCTTAGATCTGAGTGGTCACCAGCGCTGACAATCTCTAAAGTGCTGTTGTCTATCTGCTCTATGTTGTGCGACCCTAATCCGGATGATCCTTTGGTTCCTGAAATTGCTAAGATCTATCTAAAGGACAGGAGAAAGTATGACAGAGTCGCTCAAGAGTGGACCGAAAAATATGCCATGTGAATTACAAATATAATGCCAATGCCAAAGTAATAAATCCAAAATTGGCAATTCAATTAATTAGTGGTCTTTTGATTACTTTCTATGGAGTGAGGTCTTCCCTCTGGCCCCATTCTTCTGGGCCATCTTTGTACAATTTTCAAGTCTGGCACAAAGGAAGGGGAGGGGCAGGGTTAGAGAGAGGAGGAGCAGGGAGAGAAGGAATATGGAAGAAGGATGGACAGAGGAGGAGGGGAGAGGGGAAAGTGCTAAGTTGATGGAAGATGTCTGGGGAGTAGGAAAGTGGAGATGCAAGAAAGAATATAAGACCTGTTTTAACTTAGTTTTGACCAAAGACATTTATTGCCTTAGGATTTTGGGGGGGGGGAGATGAAGAGGGTTGTGGTTTTGGAATGAGAGAGCATTCCACCTCCACCTACCAGTGGGAAAACTATGGAGTCTTATAGAACTAACAACTAGGAAACACTGAGTGAAGCTAATTAAGCATCTGTTTGATTCTGAAGAATTTATGCCTTCAGGTGTTTTGATTTTGATCAAGATTAATATTAACCTATATTCTTTAATTGGAGGTCCATGTTCAACTGAAACAAAGATGAAAATGGATTAGGAGTGGCTCTAAATACAATATATTGATTCCATATTTCTCATCTCTCATGGCTTGTATCCCCACCCTTTATGGGGCTTCACCTTTCCCCATCATCTTGGTTGAACATGGCTTCTCTTGACTTACTTTCTGGGGTTTGTCTTTTTTTATTTGTTTAATATTTTTTATTTGCTCTTTTTAGTTATACACAACCATAGAGTACTTTTTGACATATTTATACAAACATGGAGTATATTTTATTCTAATTAGGATCCCAGCCTTGTGGTTGTATATAATGTAGAGATTCACTGTTGTTTATTCATATATGTACATAAAAATGTATTTCAGATTCATTCCACTGTCTTCTCACAAGTACCATGTACAGTATTGAGATTTTACTCAGCTTTCAAGATTACAAGTTAACTTGTAGGTGGAGGCTAGAAAAATGACAGGGAGTCTTGTGTTAGAAAAAAGGCCTTTATTAGTCCTGGCACAACAGGCCGCATGAGTTTTACTGATGTAGGTTCTCCTTGCTCCCCAAAATCCCAAGGGGGAGATGTGTAGCAGATCAGGTGGCTGCTGCACACACAGTGGGTAGCCCCACTCTTTCAAGGAACAGCCAGTAAGTGTGCCCCTCCTTTGTTCTGAGGGAGATGTTCAATTAATTTGGTCAGAAAACAAATTTACTTTCTTCCTTGAAGGGCATTCCATCTTCCAAGGCTGTCTGCTGTGCAAATACGACTTAATAAATCAATTTAAAGAAGAAAATAGTACATTCATTATGATACTGTCAGGTAGTAGTAATGGGCACTGGAATGCATACCAAAGTCTAAAGTTTACTTTAAATTACTCAAAGTTTTAAGTTACTGCCAAGGAAGATGAATAAATAGATAACTTGTAGGAAAACATCCTTACGCAAACCTTGAAGGTAAACAAATATAAAAGGAGATAATCTGGGGAAAAAACATCAAAAAAGAAGGATTTGTAGGACTTACTCCTGATGGGGCCCATAAAGGTCAAGATAAAACTAGGTATCACAACTAAAAAACAATTTAAAAAATGTTTTAAAATAGTAAAACCATGTGTTACAGCACCATATGTCTGCTTCTGTCTCAAAAGGAGGGATTCTTAAGTGGTGCAGGTACTGTAAGGTAACTTCTGACACTCACTCACCCCAGTACCCACAATAACATAGAATTAATTTGTAGATGAAGCAGTAACAGCACTGGGGCCTTCTGAGAAACTCAGATAGTGCAAAGACCTCCTGTTCAAACCCCGTTTATTGCAACCAATTCAGAAAGATTTCAAACATGTTGCTCAGAGTAATAAGCACGAGTTCATTGAAAGAATAGGAGAAGGGAAAGGGGGAAATCTCAAGGGAAACACTGGGTCCTATAAAAGAGGTGAGGCACAATATGCCTCCTGCACTCTATTTTTTGGGGGGATCCCCAAGAATCTAGAGAGTCCTGCTCATGTCCACCTCTTGACTTTTGACTGACAGCAGGGTGACATCAGACTTTCACGTTCTCAGTGGCCATCAGATTTTCAAGTCCTCAATTCCATGGAAACTCTAGATCACCTTGACCCATGCCAACTGGTTTTAATAGGAATGAATATACAACTGGTTTTAATAGGAATATATATATATATATATATATATATAATATGTGATATGGTTGGACAGAATAACTTTATTTATTTCTTTTTATGTGATGCTGAGGATGGAACCCAGCGCCTTGCACTTGCTAGGTGAGAACTTTACCACTGAACCACATCCACAGCCCAATGGATTCTTAATCATACATCCTTACTATTTTTTAAAGATATTTTCTTATTTTATTTACATTTATGCAGTGCTGAAAATCAAGACCAGTGCCTCACACATTCTAGGTAAGCACTTTACTACTGAGCCACAACCTCAGCTCATTTTTACAGATTATATTTTAGGAGGTACTATCCTGATCTGTAAAATGGTCACAAAATTCCCTCCCTCCAAAGTAACTTATGTTACTCTTGTCAACATTATATCCTGCCTGCATTTCCTTGCACATAACAGGTATTTTGCTGAGGAATATTATATATCCAGTCTACTTAGGCCAGGCAAGGCTGCAGGCAAATTGCATAATAAAATAATTATTATTTTTACCTTGTGTTTCCACTATCCTCATCTATCTGTCTCCAAGAAAAGCCCTCCTGAGATAACCACCATGACAGTTCTAGAGAGAATCAACTAAGGTCAAAAACTCCACCACCAGACATGAAGGAGGAATTGAACACCTGATTGGCAAAGGTTGCTGAAGGAGGACCTCAGTTCTCAAGGTAAACAACAAACAGTAATAAATGTGGAAATGTCACTGTTCCCTTTGTCATTTTCTGTTTTGGGATGGCTCTCTGCTTGAGTCTTATTCTAATTTTACCCTATTTTTACTTCATTTACAATGTACTTTCACTTAAATAAAATTCTCTTTTACTATATTTAGTGTCTGATTTTAAGTTTTTCTTCATTCGAACACAAGAACTGAGGCTTAGATCTTCAGCTCCTTGCTCTCCTTTGAAGATACTAAACAATACTAAAAGTTTAATAATCCTCTTTTACCAGCACAAGTTTAAATTTCTTTTCAGTTTTTCCTTTAACATGTTAACAAGAAAAATCCATAATTAAATAAAGAGCAAGTACATCTGTAAGTAAATTTACATTATTTAATTTTTTAATGTCTTCATTTTATTTATTTTTATGTGGTGCTGAGGATTGAACCCAGGGCCCCGCATGTGCTACACAAGCACTCTCCTGCTGAGCCAAAACCCCAGCCCCAATATTATTTTAAATTTAAAAATATCTTTGTCAAAGATCAATTTTGTCCCAAGGTGTGTAGAAATATTATGTGTGAGAAGTAGAGAGTCTGGTGTTCCTTTTTTCAGAATACAGTATTTCACCTAAAATGTAAAATTAGGATATAAGAAAGGCAGTCAGAGGGAAAATAGATCAGAATGGAAAATTACAAGCAGTTAATTCATACAATAGCACTACAGTCTATGGATGTGGCAGATCCAAAAAGTCTATGCACCTAAATATCCCCTTGACAAACAGGAGAGGGGGAAGGGGTTGGCATAACCAAAACAGATGTCAATCTCCCTGTTAAAAAATAGTAACTCAGGTAAAGAAGTAAGATCTCCTTGTTCATCAAAATGCATTCATCCCAAGGCTTTCCTGACACAAAAGAAAAAAGGGAGGTGGAAACGATTAAAAATATATTTCTTTCAGTAAACCAATGTGAGACAGTATTACCTAGCCAACATACTGGAAGACTGTGTACCACAAGGTACTCAGGGTACAAAATAATGATTATAACTATTCTGGGGTTTCCTGACCATCGGGCACCTGATCTTGCAAGACGATCCTTAAAGACTTGATATCTATCTTTTTTCTTATCTGGTTTATCCACATCTATTCTTTGGGTTTGGGTAGGAGAGCATGTCACAAATGGAATATTTAACCTGGATAAATTTAGCTGATTGGATCTATATGATTATATTATAAAAGTAAAATTTAATTTTATAAAACACTTCCGTGTATTGAAAAATCCCAATTTTTCCTGTAGAATTATAAATTTGGAAATGTCTAATCAAGTTACAAGCAAACTACTACCATCATTACTCTTTAAATCACCATAATGATGTACTTTTTGTAAGAAGTGAGGAAATACTACAATCTGAATAACTCCAAAAATTGTTTTCCCCAAATTTAGACACCAGTGGGTGTGATAGTATTCAGAGATGGGTCTTTAGGAGGTCATTAAGTTATGGGGGTGGATCCCAAGATTCTCATGGAAGGAACATGTATCCTTATAAAAGAGCTTGAAATAATTAGTATGTTTATTCTCTTCTGCTCTTCTCCAGACATAGCTTACCTCTCTTTTTAGTCATGTCACCCCTTCCTCCTTGTATATATATATATACAAAATATATATATATATAAAATTATATATATATAGAATTATATATATATATATTTATATATATATATATATATAAAATTACCCAGTCTCGGGTATTTTGTTATAGCAATTAAAGGGCTAAAATGGATGAGTTATTATTTTATTAGAAGCATGAAAATATGTATGTAGTAAAAATTTTTTTAGGGGATCCAATATGATGGACTAGAGGGAAGCTGCATTTTTTGTCACTCTGTGACCTGGGATTCATGTGCTGGGAATACTGTTTCTCTGTGAGTTATTAAAGGAACCCCAGCCACTGCTCCCCTGTGGAACCTCATCTACCAGTGTGGGGCTCCCCATGTCACCTCCATCTTGGGACACTGCAACTACTGCCATAGTTATCTGCACCTGGGGACACCAGACAGAGTCTGGAGACAGCACCCTACCACAATACTGCATGTCACAGAGCTGCATCTCTGAACATGCAGCCCAAAACCATGACCCAGCCCACTCCAACACCCCATCTCTGAAAGCAATCACCT